ACCGCTGACCTGCTGATCTAGCAGTAGCCTGCAGTGCTGCATTTAACCACTGCGCCACCTTGGCTCCAAGGTATATGGTACTTGTGTGTGGTTTTTAGTTGTAGATTGGGAAGTTGATGGCTGGCTATTAAGTTGTTGGCTAGTTTCTTTGTGCTGTCAAGCCCTTGCCTCATATTTGTTAAGCTGGGGGGTAAATTAGCACTCCTGTTGATTGACAAGGGGCCTGTTTCCCAGGTTTCAATCATTTCCCTGGCTCTTTTTGTGCCTGTTCATCCAACAATGTTAGTAGCTGCAAAATAGAATGTATGTCCTTGTTTATTACAATGTGAGGCTGCCCGCAGTTTATCAAGTTCTTAGGAGGCAAGGGCTTGACAGCACAAGGAAACAACAGCCAACAACTTAATAGCCATTCATCAACTCCCCAATCTACATCTATAAAGCTGCACACAACAGGCACCCTATAAACACCACACACAGAACAGCCCAAAGCCCACAGTGAAGTTCCCTTAGGATGTCCTCCAGCACAAGTCTGAAAGCTCAGAAGACACTGGTCCCAGTGACCAACCCAGATTGGATCCTGCAACATTTTCCTGGGACATGCCTTCCTTTATTTAGTTGTAAGATCTCTGGCATGGAAGGGATGCTCATCTGAATAGGCTGGCACTTCTGGCACATTTTATTCTGTATTTGAATCCATTGCAATATCTTTTGTCCTGCCCGAGGAAACAACAGCCAACAACTTAAAAGGTAGTTTTTAACCATTTGCCCTTATTAGTGGTGGGAAGAGCGAATGGCAGCAAGACATGATATCCTTCCCATAGATCCTTTCTCATTACTGGCAGCTTGAGGAGTAAATTGCAAACTCAGTATTTTGCATATTTCTTTTCCCAAGGTCTCTTTCCAGTGTGCGGAGAAGAGCTAGCCATCGAATGCCTTATTGAAATTCTCATTAAGATAACATTAGTAGGAACAGAAAAGATAGAACAAAGAAATTAGGAAAACCACAAGCAATTTTCTCAGTAAGTAGAAATAAATTGAGCTGTGCATCTGGTCTGTTATGAAGTGTAGTGAAAGCTGCTTCTAACTTGTGTTTTCCTATCCCTTAGGTTTTTTAAAAAAACATTGATTTTACTGTAAAAACTGCCTAGAAGCAATCTGTAATTACCGGGTCAGTGAACTATTACAGCCATTAATAGTAAATATTGCTAGCTCAGCCAGAACTTGTTCCAAAAGTGATAAAGGACATTCCTTTAAAGCTCTTAAAGTATCCGTTGTAGGCTTGGGAATGTAAGCAAATATGCAGGGTTACTTAATGCATTCTTTAAAAGATTTTGTACATTCAAGATTTCACTCTATAGACTTCAGTAAGAATCCAAATGAGCAAAAGGTCCATTAGAGATGCCTGTGGAGTGTCCTTAGTGAGTGTTCCCACTTCCCATTTACCTGGGAACAGTTTGGTCCTGTTGAACCTGATGAGATTTGACAGGATCCTCGATGCTGTCAGTGTAACTCCAGGTAGTAGCTCTCGTGATCACAAGCCCAAAATGAGGATGAAGGTTCATTCTTTCAGCTTGTGCGTTGGTTAGGTAACATCTTCAGTAGAGTTTAGGGAATGTCAGTTTTCTTGTTTATAAGGGGTTCAGGTGTGAGTGTGTCAAATGAGGGTGTTGTGAGGGGTCATCAGAGAGTCATTTCTTGAATCTTGTGATAAGATTATATACAGCTGACCCATCACAACATTTTAGAATATTTTACCTAGCCTGGTAGTGAAACATTTGGAAGGGTTGGTCCTACTTTTATCACTAAACGTTTTTCTTTATCATGTAAGAAAGTTAGTTGTGTACTTGAAATAACTTCTATGATAGCCAACCACAGGTATTAAATGTATACTGATTTCCAGCAGTAATATTCATTAATAAATACAGCACAGTAAAATTATTTTCAGTAGAGCTACCATGAGAAAAAAAATTAATGAGAATTGATTCTTCTATTATTTCCCCTCCTCCTTATCCATTGCCTGCAGTGACAATGGCTCACTGTTCGTACTGTATAGTAGTTTTTTAAAGTGTTTTTAAAAAATTGTAATATCTATGCAGTTGCTGGTGAGTGTTATCAGTGTGTTATAAAATATGTAATAAATATTACTGACTTAGAAAAGGCAGAATTTCAGAAAATCTTATTCCCTTAAATAGAAAGTCCAGAATAGTTATTTTATTACTTTAGTCTTTTCTAAATAGTTAAAAATGTAATACTACTAGTTTAGCTGTGTTTACATAATGTATTACTCCAGATTTATTGAACTCCTTGGTCTTGGTTCACACAACAGACCAAACATAAACTAACCATAGAGTGGGCTAATACACATTTTAGTTATATTTTATGTATCCAGTTACACTGTAATTGCCAAATTACAGTCAAAAACATTTAAAAGGTACTAAGCAAGTAAGTTTAATACAAAAATACATAAGCACTGCTGTTGGAACAGGAAATATAGGTTCTTTGGTATTACAAACAATACTCTTGACATTTATCGTACAATTAACTTCTAGAAAACATTATTTTACTTCCACTAAAAAAGGTAATTACCACAGCTACCTCTTTACATAATTTCTGCATCGTATCTTCTAAAAAAGAAAGCTAAGTGTGTGTGGTAGATTTTTCTCTATTCTGAACACTTGATAGTACAGAGCTTTGGAACAACTTAAGTCAACTCAAAACAGGCTGGAATCAAAACTCAACTGTTCACAGTACATTAAAAACATCCGTAACTATGGAGTTGGAGCCTTTATCAAGTGCCTATGTGGAAAAATACACATCATTCTCTTCATCAGACTGTATTTCTTCTTCCACTTCAAATAGATTCCTCACTCCAGTAGAAGTTCCTACATCTATAGTAAGGTGAGAAAAAAACCCAGGGATGATAGTATCCAAAATGGTCCCATATAATACCATCCTCAGATACAATCTTATAGTCAACATGAAAAGCTGAACTGGTCTTGGAGAGAAATTCTATATTGCATGAAAACCCACCCCAAACCAACTAAGTTAAAAAGAGACTGGCAAACCATATGCATAGGTATTCACAATCCCAGGAGTCGGGACTGGTTAATTTACCTTTTAACAATTATACAGAAATTATTTTAATGTCCACAGGACCAGATTACCTCTGTAATTGGTGTGGGGCACTCAAGTGTTCATAATTATGGATTTCAATTTCTGAATATCTGCATTTAAAATTGAGATTTCCCACCCTGGGAAATATACTCAGGGAAAATACAGGTAGTAAAATTGGGTGCCTAAATCTGGAACTAATTCTTAACTCTGCAGTCACCAAACCTCATGAGCTGCTTTGTCTGCTGGCTTCATGTTAAGGTTTGCAAATGGTGCGGAAGAAAATACTTTCAAAATTACAAATCCTGAAACATGCCATGTTCATTACTGCATACTGCAATGTCGCTCATATATGCAACAGATGGCTTCCTTTGTAGACTACAATTTCCAGACCTCCGTTTGACACAACGTCCTCTGATGACCACAATAGGGGGCGTGTATGTCCATTGCTAAGCAAGGAGTGATCCGTTGTGAAAGTGAGCCACAATCAATTTCAACTTTTTTGCCATGGTGGTGAAGTGAATCACAGCGGATATTAAGCGAATGACATAGTTGTTGAATGAATCTGGCTTTTTCCCCATTAATTTTGCTTGTTGGAAGCTGCCCGGGAAGGTGACAATGATCACATGACCCAGGATGCTGCAATTACAATAAATATCGGTTGCCAAGCACTCAGACGTGACCCTGGGGGATGTTGTGACAGTCATAAGTTCAAGGACTAGTTGTAAGTCACTTTGTTCCATGCTATTATAATGTTGAACAGTCACTGAATGAATAACTGTAAATCGAGGACTAACTGCATTGATGGTGCCATACTAGGGACTCCCAAGTCTAACCCTAAATCCTGACAACGTCATATAAAGCAAGTGAAACAGGCCTACCTTCAAAATTAAAGACATTTGTTCTTCGAGACATGGGAGTAGTGAACACTGTCGCAGCCTGATGGAAACAAAAGATACATTACTTTCCGCAAGCAAAGAGCTTGTAGAAAAGCTTCGTGGCAAAACAAACAAGCCAACTAAGAACACTAGACTGCAGTTTAGATTCAATAAAGCCATGGAATTGGATATAATTGGATATTGGATATAAGTTTATTTATAGGCCGCCCTTTTCCCTGAGGGGACTCAGGGCGGCTAACAACTTATAGGGAGGGGATACAAACAGTA